AGGATGGAATCACATTTCATACGTAAGTAAAGTTATAAACTGCTATTTTCAATTTTCAATTAATCAAAATCAAATTTGAGGTTGTCGCTTTGTAAACAAAACCTGAACGAAATGTTGCCATGATTATTCGTTACAGTTTTACCCTTTTGTTGGGTAGCGTGAAATATAACGTAACGTTATTTTATTATATACATTGTGTGGCATACTTTTATATTATTCGAATATTGTAATGCATGGATAAACAATTACACGAAACATCTTTTTTCTTTATGTATTCGTATAAATTTTTTGGGATGTAATACACATTATTTAATATACGTTTTCTTTAAGATTTCCTAATCGAGATCAAGATCTAAAAGAGAAGTGGATTGCAGTCATTCGTAAGAGTAGAAATGCACCATTGTGGCAACCAGCTTCCCGCAGCGTGGTTTGTTCGACTCATTTTCAGAGCGACGATTTGTAAAATAATAATATATTTGTAATTTTATTTGTATTGTACTTTTTAATGGCCTTTTAGACCCAAAATTCGCGATGTTTGTGGATTTATTTTATTATGTTCTTGTATAGGAACTAGTGATTATATTTTGTGTATTCTATAGAAAATTTCATGTACATTTTAATAAAAACATTTGTATATGCTTTTCGTTTTATCGACATAAAGTTGAGATGACTGATTTGTAAGCGATTTCAAGTGCCTTGTTGCGAGTGCTTGAAACTATAAAATGAACAAACCTATTCCATCCGAGACTTGTAACTAAAGTAAAATAATCAATCCAACATAATTAAACGTCAACACATAAATCAAGGCACTTGGATCTCGCAATTGTTTTTATCAACACTTGCAACACGACCCTTTTTTTTCTGTTGCGTGTTATATTTTATAATTGTATTTGGTAAGTTATTATATACATTCATTCATATATAGTACATTCTATATGTACAAAAACCTGGATTTATAATTTACAAATTTTGAAAATACACCTCATTTTACCTATTTAAATGACTTTTTTTATCTTTCCTGAGTTTACCATAATGTAAATAAAATAAATTATAGACATGACGCATTGTGTACACACTGTTTTATTGAAAATTTTATGGAGAATCCAAATATACGTTTGTGAAGGGTATTTTTACAAAATAGCAGAGAAATCGGCAGAACAATGCCATCGTTCCCACCCAGCGGGTGGGCGGTCCATAAAGAAGTCCGGCACTTGTAGGTGCGAACGGCGCATGACCTTTGGCTCACGAGAGGTTTAGAGAATAAGCTTACGATATTTTTTTCTAATATTTTATAACGTTATTAAAAATGTAATAACGTTATGAAATAACGTTATTACATTTTTCTAATATTGGGGTGTTTTATATGACTATGGTAACACTGGCTAATGCACTACATACATAAAAAACCGGCTTCACTTTTTGGTTCGGCAGACTCCGTCTTTACTTTTTATTTGGTCTGAGTGTACTTTAGATGTAAGTAGGATCTGTAAGTATTACTTATAGAATTAGTACATAGATTTTTTACCTTTTTAGGTTGTTTTTATATGAAGTGGATTTTTATTTATGTTATATAAGATTTTACCTTAAATTATTTAGTATTTTATACAAGATATACGTGTAAATTACCTACGAAAGACCACAATAGCGCAAGTATAACGCTTTCGTTCTGCGATCGTGAATGTTAAGCAATTTTCACAATGGCCGATCTTAGGATGGGTGACCAACCCAAAATGTATTAAATCGAGTTCCTATGTTGCTGCTCGCTGCAGCTCGGATTTATTATAAGCATGACACATTAATAGGCTTATAATAAATCCGCATCGTAACATAGACCCATCTACCTTTTTAAAAAAAATAAAAGATCTAGCTAATATATTATTATCACCGTCGTTGTTCATTATTGTATAAAATTTATGTCTTTTTTTAACGAAATAAACCCATATCCAACCTTAACAACAAGCTCAAAACTTAAGTACAGCAATCATTTACGTGATATTTGGCCCCAATTATTCACATTTAAATTTAGAGAGGTCCTTCTTAAATTTAGTGTGACATTTCTAATTTTAGAGAAAATATGACATTTAGAACGCGTTTCAGAATACCATTTAATCATCTAAATCTAAGTTGAATAACTTAGCAACGTCAATTTTAAATTTAGAGATAGAGTGTCATTACAGAATACCAAATTGAATTTGACAACTCTATATCTAATTTTAGTTAGTTTTAGATATAAGTTGGCACGCCAGAATTGGGCCCAATGTCACATTAAGGTTGATAGCTTAGAGATAAATAAACTAGGAATTAACGTAGACCCTTTGCTTGTAATACTAATTTATACAATTTCTCTTTGGATAGGAATACTTATCTTTAAATATTCCCATCTAAAGCGTAATAAATAGAGAAGAGAGACCCTACAACGGCTCTACTAAAAATGAAACAACTTTTAATGCTTCCCTTTTCAGTAGCGACTACAGACCCCTCTTTCCCAGTGGGCACTTTGGGCAAGTGCCCAGGGCCCCGCGACCGATAGGGCCCACCTCAGATCAAATACAAAGTCCCTAGTTTCTAGTGTTGCCGATCGATAGTCGACTATCGATGATTAATCGATAGTCTATCGATAGCCAACCAATCGTATGACACTCGATCGGCTTATCGAAATCGATCGGCACAGAAAAAGCCAATACTATCGGATGAGTTAAATACTATCGATAGTATTGTAGTTCGTTAATAATAAACTATCGATACTGTCGATTTTATTTGCAACCATACTATCGATAGTTTAACAATTAGTAAAAGTATTGTTTACAATTTTCAGGTATTATAGTCAATCACAAACTTTAGTCTAGAACAATCGCTAGTATCGATACTATCGATAGTATTGTTGCAGATAAAATCAACACTATCGATAGTATCGATACTATCAATAGTTTGTTATTAATGAACTATAATAGTATCGATAGTACTGCACTCATTCGATAGTTTTGCCTTGTTCTGAGCTATCGATAATATCGATACTATCGGTTGTATCGATTCTATCGATAGGCCTATCGATAGGGTACATGATTTTCGATGTAAACTGTCGATAGTTTTAATATCGATAGTTCGGCAACACTACTAGTTTCTGTTAGATCGCCAAACGGGGGTCATAGGGGCCCCATTATCCTAATATGCCCAGGGCCTCCAATAGGTCAAAGACGGCACTGAGCAACTTGGTTGGAAATCTGTATCATGAATATTTTTAGATTTGTCTGTTCATTTATACCTTTTCTCAGGTCGGTGGGTAAATATTAATTTTTGTTAGTGGATTCTTATTAGGTCATATATACCGACGATGAAAAGTCAGCTTATTGACTTGCGATTTACAAATAGATAATTATAAATTACATAATCTTCCCACGACACACAATTACATTAAAAATAAATAAAAATGGCGCATAAATTAGAGCCAAGGTTGCTGTTGTACGTATTAAAATGGTAATCATAATACGAATTAAGCACTTACTTAAGATACAGAGAGTACCTACCTCCTTTATATAAGTCAAATATTAAAGAAACTGTTGTTTTGGATATCTTGTATCCTTTGAACGAACTAGGCTTTCCAAAACTTTATCAAAAATATGTTTTTGATATTTTTGATAAAGATATTTTGATATTTTTTTTAATTTTTGATAAAGATTTGTTGTTGTTATTCCTAAGTGCCTGCGCTGCGTTAAGCGGGAGCACGGAGCGGGTGTCCGCTCGCCGTGTTTGTTTCATGTTATTTCATAGAGTAGCTCTGCGTGAGGCGCGCCTCCCGCACCGCGCTGTTGAATGAAATAACATAATCTGCACGCGGCGCGGACGTCCGCTCCGAGCTCCCGCTCAACGCTGCGCACGCTCTTACAATTCCAATAACTATAGATCCACTGTTTCTTATATTTAACAATAACTCCGTTTAAGAGATACAGCCTTACGAACAGAGATAGGCAGACAGCGAAGACAAACATGTTAATATAAATAACATTCCGTTTGTCACCGTTTCGTTTCGAATTACATTCTTTGGTCGATAAACAGGGTTAATTTTAAAACACCAACAACCTCTTAGGCGTTGAGCAGACGACGGGGCGGGGCGGGCATTTTGTCCGCGAAGCAATAAAGACCGCGTCTGCCCGTCGATGTCTGCGGCTGCCCGCGCCGCGTACACAAAGCACACGACCGGCAGAAGCGGTCAGTTCAGGACGTTCGTTCTAGTGAATAGTCCATCACTAAAAAGCGCGTGGCGCGGACTGAGCTGACCGCCCCGCGCCGCCATCTGCGTTACTGCATATAAACTGGTTTGTATGATCCACGGCGGGCAGCCGCAGACATGCCGCACCTGCGGCGCGGTCTTTTTGCCCTCTGTGTGCGTTTGTAGTATAGGATTCACTTTGTGCTATTATTCGCGACGAAATTGACCGGCCCGCCCCGCCCCGTCGTCTGCAAAGCGCCTTAGGGGGTGATTCAACCCATCAACAGGAACAACTTTTATTATGGGACCAACTATGAAATCGCGAAAAAAACCCAGCTGTTTCATACATTTCGGTCGAATACTTAGCTGATGCACTTTTGTATGAAACAGCAGATTATTTTTTCGCGATTTCAGCGTTGGCCCCATAATAAAAGTTGTGCCTGCTGATGGGTAGAATCACCCCCTAAGAGGTTGTTGGTGTTTTAAAATTAACCCTGTAGATACGGTACTGTTAGGTCTCAGTCACCAATTCTTTTTGTCACAAAAGCCTGTAACTGAAGTTTGACGAGTCCAGCGAAGCTGATGAGCTTCCAGAACCCTTAGTACGAGTTTGAGCTCACGAAAACTATCATAGTTTTCGTAATTGTAAATTATGTTTCTATGTCCATTGTAGTGATAAGTTACCAAATATACTTAAAATTTAAGAAGACGCATATGATTTAATGATAGAATTTAAACACTGTTTATTTGTATTTAAACGAAAACAATAAAATCTACGAGTGCGAGGTCACGAAAACTATCATAGTTTTCGTAATTGTAAAACTCGTACTAAGGGTACAGATGCAAAGTTTATCTACAATTAAGACATTGGGAACTAGTGGTTTCATTGGATCTATGAAACAAAATACCTTTACCAGTCTTGATACTTAAAGTTAAATAAGTGGACGAAACATCACAACCTTCTCTTCTAGAAACAACACAAAAACAACTCCTCAGGACACCTGGGCACTGTGATCTGCAATTTCGGACAGTTCGTGATTTTCTCGCATCGACATCGCGACTTGAATTTCCTTTTGCTTGCTCTTTCTATAAAGTTCGTTTGTCCCACACTATTGAAGGACTTGTCAGAGTTCTTAAAGTAGCCCAATTTCGAGACGAACCTAGGTGAAGGAGACTTCAATCTAGGTGAAACGTTTTGGGGTACTTCTGACGTCACCAGTGTTCTTTCTGTCGCTTCGGTTTTTATTTCGTTAGTTGTGCTGGGTTTGGTGTACTGCTGCTCTGTGGTTGACTGTGGGGTATCGTTAAACGAGTCCTGCGAATCGATATAAGGAGTCGTGATTGCATTCGAGTCTTCTTGTCGATCCGGGTTGTCTTTGCCTGTGTAAAGAATCGGAGCTTCTGATGAATCTATGACAGGTCCAGGATTTCGGTCAGGCGCAGTTAGAGGCTTGACGTAATCGAATTCGCTCGCGTCTTGAGGAGCTGCTGAGATGGCGCAGACGCAGACGAAAAGTGCGCAGAGTAACCTGAAATAGAAAAGATAAAGGATTTATGTTTATGGCAATTGAAATGGTAAGTCTAAAAATAAATAAGTAGTTTACGTCTTATAGCATCACGGAATAGGGAGTAGCCAAAACGTTAAATTATTCAAATCATTTGTATTTTTATGTGGGGGGGATAGGCACACACACAGAACACATAAACCTCTTTCTGTGTTCTGTGGGCAAACATATGCAGTTTAACGTACACGCGCGCGTTAAGAATAAAACTGTTACGACGACACTGACACATAAACAAAAACAATGTCACAATACAACGCCAAAACCTGCACACAGGTAACGTTTTTATGCCCAACTCAACAGAAGCCACATCATAGCTTTCCTCTGATGCCTACTCCCCTCTTGGCCTTTCTCCTGAATAATTACAGAGGCTTTATTGCTTAGAAATGAAAAGATAAAGATTTATTCGACTGACACCATATGTTCATAGTAAGCGTTTCCGCATACAATTTACACTAACATCTTGTCTAATGGCGATGATAAACATTTAGAAATGTATTAGGAAATTTGTTATACGTACTATGATTTTAAATGATACAGTCCTATCTAGCTTAGCCATGTAAACTTATTTACGCATTATTTATTATAAAATCCAATATTATGTTTAATAGTTTGATTTAGAGCAACGTGTTTGAGGATACATTCCTTGAAACTCGTTCTCATTTTGTGTCAACAGGCAACAGATGTCCACCGAAACATCTAAGCTATTAAAAATTATTATTTATTATGTGATTTTAATTTTGATAAGAAAAGTTCAATTCATGTTTCTCGTATGTTTCTGTACTACTGTACAATAACTAATTGGACCACTCTGTATATTATACTTAATATACAGGGGTCCAATTAGTGACGTCAACAATTTTTTTTTATTCCGCGCACCTTGGACTTTTTTAAATCTTAGTGGTGAAAAACTAAAGTTCAAACTTTCAGGCCTTTTTTGAGTAACTTTAAGTAATTTCAGGTAGCTGAGTTACTTTTTTTCTATTAAAACAACATTCAAGACAATTATGTCACAAAAAAAAGACTGCAAAATAATAAATACCTACTACGAAAAAAGATATGAATTTTTGAAACCTCGCTGTCAGAAATCATTAAAAATACACAAAAAAAATTATAACTCGAAAACTAAGAAAAATCGCGGAACATACATGGGGTATTTTCGGATACGACAAGGTGCGAGGATTCTAAAAAAATTGGTGCCGTCACTAGTTGGCCGAGCCTCACCTTGAAACCTGTATACCACTCCACGATGGAGGTCCTTTATTCCCAGTCGCCCCCCCGGGGATGGCCACCGTAGTCAAATTGGAATAAAGAAAACTAAAGTGGGGGCAATGATTTCATTCCCATGTGCCTCGGGTGGCAATCCCTGCCGGGGTGACTGGGAATAAAGGATGGAGATCATCATGCTACCGTTTTTCTTATAGAAGAAATAATTTAATCAACAAACCAATTGGATATTTTGCTAGTACAAACAACAATACAAAAGGCGTACAATAGGTTAAATCAAAACCTCGTTTCACAATCATAGGTTGCTCATTGCTCCAACAAAAGTGGACCAGGTACAGGAACTTTCAACTAATAATAATATTCTCAAAACACGTCGTAATTAATAATCCTAATAGGCCTAATGAATGCGGTATCATCATTATTAATAAGCTTCGTATAAATATTGATATGGTGGCGGTTATAATTAGAAAAACGGCGGTTCCTCGGGTAACTAATTAAAAAAAACAACATCTAACGTTGTGGAATAGTTATCACTAGCGGCCGGCCGCGGTTTCGCCTGCGTTAACTTTAGTTTTTTTGAGAATTCCTCAGAACCTCGCATTTTTTCGGGATAAATGTTCCTAGGTTTTAATTCAGGTAATGAACTATATGTGTGCCAAGTTTCATCTAAATCCTTTTAGCCGTTTTTGCGTGATTGAGTGATAAACATACAAACTTTCACATTTATAGTATAAGGAAAGAATTACGTTAACCGACCCTAACGTTGCGGCTGATTGAGATCTGTCAATCAATGTTTTTTGAATTCTTCGCATAAGTAATTTCCTTTCAGATGATGTAAAATTGATTTAAAAAACGTGCGGATGCAATTTCAATGAATAAATTGATGACATTTAATTGCTTGGCATTTTTTAGGCAAACCGTCACTAATGTACCATGTATACTTACAAATCATTCATTTAAATTAAGTTTTATTAATGAAACAGGTGGCTGCAGCATCGAGCGGCAAAATCTCGGACAGAGCGTCATATTTTTGAAGCTGACTACAGGCTGATTTTCTTTTCTTTTCTTTCGTCTCTCTTTAGCACGTCCCATTACATGTTCAATAGTTTTTAATAATTCTGAGCTTAATAATGAGCATCGTTAGTTCAGTGGTAGAAAGCTTGCCTGCTACGCGTGCGGCCCGGGTTTGAGCGCCAGCGAAAAGTGTAGGTACTTTTTTATTACTAATGTTTTAAAAAATATTGGTGAATAGTTTGAATTTTCTTAGTATTTTAGTAATCAGCGAAAAGAGAATCGCCTCGACTCCAACCGTGGCGTCTTTCGGAAAAAAATGTTACAATTTTTCTTAGTGTTTTGGTATTCATCAGCTAATATAATGATCGCTTCGACGACGATTGAGATGTCGGTTGGAAGTAATTTTTTTTTTAGGATTTTGGTATTCAGCGAATGCAAAATGCAATGCAAACATCGCTACGAAGCACTGCAGGGCGATGGTTAGAAGTAAAATGTTATAATGTGTAAAAAAAAACTACAAAAACACGAATCGTTCAAGTTGTCTCTATTTCTGGGCTGAAATGTAAACTACTTATGTGCTTTTAATTATAATTTTTGATTGTAAAAGCGTGGGGCGAAAGACTTTTTGTATAATTCTATATTCTTTATCAAAACTGTAATGTCTTGACTGTAAGGCAGCTTGCTGTACTTGGTATTTTGGTATTCAACTAATTATACAACGCTTTAACGATGAGTAAGATATCGGTTGGAAGTAAAATGTGATTTTCCTTAGTATTATGGTTTGCAGTGAATATAAACATCGTACGACATACTGCAGGGAAACTGAGTTGGAAGTATTTTTTGTAATTTTTCTTAGTACTTTGGATTCAACAATTGCAAACAACGCTACGATGCACTGTATTTTTTCGTGATATTTTTGTATTGAACAATTACAAACAGCGCTTCGACTCCTAGAATTTTATGATTTATTTATTTATTTTAGAATTTTTATATCATAGTATATCATCAAATTATTACTTATTATTTTCAAATAAGGCCATCATAAAAGTATAAAAATGTGTAAAAAGCTAATTTTGACTTATAAAATTGAAAATTCTGTTTTCGCGAAGGTTACTTCTACACGCTACCAATGCCCCGATTCTAGAAAAAGCCTCGCGTATTCTCGACTACGATCGTTGAAGTTAAGCAACTTTAACAGTGGTCGGGCATTGGATGACAAAAATTTACTATCGCCTTTGTGCTTCGGAAGGCACGTTTGTTCTGGCTGCATTTGCGGTCATTACCACCTACCAATCCGCACTGTGTCCGCGTAATGGGTCATTCCTAATCTCCCTATTCCATGCACAGAGAAGGCTTGTGCCCCAGCAGTGAGGACATTAATAGGCTGATGACGATGATGATTCTACCTAGGTATCTTCTCCTTGTCCGTTAAAAAATGCGTGTGTTACATAACACACAGCCAGCCCGTGTAAATATTTGAGGGCCATGACCTGATGGGTGGCTGTTTACTTGACATGCGTAATTCTTGTTTCCAAACGCATACCTATCTTATTTAATATTATTTTAAAACATTTTGCTGTCGTCGGAAGATCCGTAGATAGATTAGGTACACAGTTTATAAAAACATTTATTTTGATATTTTTATTTTAAAACATTTCACTACTAGATGTTTAAATCTAAAAAAAAATATTAGAAAAAAATCCACGCGGACCAGGCAGCAGACGGGACTCGAACCCGCACCCTTCGTTATCCGGGCGATTGCACTGACCATTATGTTACCGCGGCCTTGATGGCCGTGTCGAATTTTCTCTCGTGTTTCTCAGGCTGCAAGCAGCGCCATCTCTTCGCATTGTAGGTAACCCACAATGTCAAATAAATACCTTTACAAGTATTAACATTTGAAAGAAGAAGTAGCCATTCAAGTGATATTTTTATTTCACTGGATAGATGAATAAAGATATGAGATGATAATGAGATAGATGTTTAAATCTAAATATTATCTTTTATTTCTTTTTCTTCTTTATTCTCTGTTTTAAACCATAGGTGTAGAAAAAGTAAGTTATTTATCTATTTTAATTAAAAGAGATACCTACTTGATTCATTTTCACAGTCACGTTAGTGAGAATCAAAACTTTATCCTCTAAAAAGACCCCGTTGATTAGGTGCCGCCACTCCGAACGCGCGGATCCGATGTGGTTCCGCGCTAATCTATATGGGAAACGCACGGATCCGCATCGGATCTGCGCTTGAAAATTTTACAGAATAGCCCCGCAGGTAATTGATTATATAATGGCATGTCACTAATTGTCGACATTTAATTAATTATTAAGTATTTAACTCTACGATTCGCATATTGCTCACGAAGCGGCTGCACGCTTGACAGAACAGTATTCATTTCAATATATTTCCATTTAAAACGGTAGAAAATACTTAACCGTATGCCTATGCAACATTGGCGGTTATATAATATTGCTAAAAAAAATGAATCGTTCCTAAAATACGATATGTTACTTAGGGATGATGACTATTTTTTTTCTTTGTTTATCAGGTAGATTATCGAAAAGTATTGGACACGTATTTTTTCTTCTTTCACATAATATAAACATTGCAGAGATATATTGATTTGTAAAGTCGCGTGACGTCACGTTTTGGTACAATTTTCACTTAAAAGTGACGTCACGAGCCCCTACTCCCAAACTTTGACGCGCTATAACTATGTCATATTT